ATAAAGAAACAAAAACACCAAAAAAATTATAAAAGAAAAAAATAAGAAAATAAATAAAAAGGGCCATCTCCTTCATAAACCCCCACCCCCCTTCACTGAAAATCCGCAACCAAGACCATCACCTAACACTGATAACACGTACAATGCTTTTCGATTTGAACACGGACAACGTGTTAAACCCCCATTTCAAAATGGATCGAATACATAGAACACACCCAAACTCAACTGGTTTGATTTTCTTGGATTTTCTCAAAAACTTCATTGAAACTGCGGTCTGTCTTCAACAGCTCTATCAACCTCTTTGAACCATTTTCACTCAAATCAAGAGACAAAAACCTTCAGTTTTATCAAATTCTTGAAAATATTTGCAGAAATTTTGCCTTCAAAAGTTGTTCCAGGGTCACGGCTCTGACCACCAGTCCACCTTCTCCAACAAATTAATCCTAGAAGTATACCCCCTTAAAAATTCGTCGTGCAAGTTGTGAATTTTTGATAAGGAAAAAAAATTGGGAATTAGGAAATAGGATTTCGAATTTGGGATTAAACACACGAAATTGGGGGTGTTGAAGGAATGGATTCATGAAATTTCGGCACGATGGCGATTGTCGATTTGATGTAGTGGCGGCGGCTACGATGCCGATGAATTGTAAGTGATGGCCGGTGGCTCGGCCGGAGTGGGATGTGGTTTTTCCTGGTCTAATTTTGATTGTGGGGGTGGGGATTAGGGTTGGTGGGGTTGGGAAAGTTTCGGTTTCAGTTCTTTACATTTTCCTTCTTTTTTTTTTTCTTTTTTTTTTTTATAAATATAATTTAATATTTTAATTATTTGTAGTAGAAAAATCTAAAATTACCATTTTATCCCTTTCAATTTAGTTAAAATTGGTCAAAATTCATTTTTATTGAAATAGGTGGTTTTAATCCAATCAAACTCCAACTGTTACTTTTTCAAAGGTTTGTAACTTTCGCTAGCACAAAGTAAAGATTAGGGTAAAGTCTGCTAAAAATTCAAAGATTTGGGACTGGTTCTGCAGTTTTCCCAATTTTGTTTCATATATGTGTGTAAGGGAGAATTAAATTCACGAGGGTTGAGGATAGCAAATCTTCAGGGAGATGGGAAATTTAAACTTGAAAAAATTTATTCACCATCTACATTAAAAAAAATAAAAAATTGAAACTTAGCCATTATATATTAGAGGGAAAAAAGTATTTATAGATTATAGTTTTTAATTACAGACACTACACATTACAACAATGCTGGGTGATTCATTTGTAACATGCAGTAAGACATAACAAGATTTAATATCAAAAAACAAAATCGTAAATTAACATTTCATCCAAATAGGTTGAATTATTAATTTTAAAATTGAGTAATATTGTATAAAAATGTGATGAGGTATCGACCAATATAACACATTGGATAATAGTGTGTGACATATAGTGTGAAGAATTGATGAATGGCAAACAACAAAGCTTGAAATAATTGTGCATCAACTAGTAATGTCTAGAGAGTGGTTTAAACATACATAAAATTAAATTAACTTGATGATGCATCGAACTAGATAATATATTAACCATAATAATAAAATATCTAGAGAGATTAAGTTAATTATTAATAAATAAGGATTTTTAAAATAGTGTGCCATAAATTAAAGAAGGATTATATTATATATCCCTGAAAATTAGGGGAAAAAATAGTCAAGATCTATGAAATTAACTGAGACTACTAGCAAATTTATTATTAAAAAGTATGATTATGAAATATATTAGTAAATTTCAAACATTGGAAAAAAAAATAGTAATAATGAAAATTAAAAAGAAAAAAGGTTCCTATAGCCTATAGTTCCTAATTACGACTTACAAAAATGGTAATATTACCAATGGAGCTAATCAATTTTTAGATACCTATTGATATTTGATTGAATAATGTTATTTGCAATCGTTCACTATCACAATCGTCATAAGTAACAAATATGTGACAATTAATGATTTGATGTCAAAGACAATAAAAAATTACCATATATTGTATCAAATCAGTAACGCCACATGCATGTCACGTAAAATGAATACGGCAGTGGACGACTACAAATAGCATTGCCCTACTTGGTTTGATCCCGTTCTCTTTGGAAATTCATCAAATTTAACCGTGCTCATTTCTAGATTTTCAACTCGCCTAAAGTGGTAGGGTTTGGGTCAAAATATAGTCGGTTCAATCGGATCTATGCTCAAAGAAAGCAAAAAATAGGAAGTATAATAATTTAGCACTTCCCCCAATACTTGTACCTATAGCCGTAAGTCAGTTCATGCATATGGCCCCTATTGCCCCGTACTTTGACAAGATCCAATGGATTTAACGTCAAAATGAAGTTTTTTGTCGTCGATAATTCTAAGAAAAAATTAATCTCACCCCGAATCATGGGTCAATATTTTTTTTTTTAGGGTTCATGTGATATGTCAATGATCATTTTTCTCATTTAAATTCCTTCATTATGATTACTGTTTAGGACACGTTAAAGATTTTATTTGAGCCGCCTGTCCGTGCTCTCTCTCTCTCGAGTTGGGACCCCTTTGCTCAATCTGGTGCCACTCCAGTGGTCGGTAGTGACTGAGTTGTGGTTTTTGATTTTTGGGATGGCGTGTGGGAGATGGGTGTGTCGAAGAAGATGAATGATTTGGGGGTGGCATGGGGTGGGTTTTTTTTTTTTTTTTTTTTTTATTTTTTTTAATATTAATATGTGATTGATGAAATTTTCCCTATTTAAGTTGGTTAAAAGTATTCGATTATTTTATTTTTCAGGTCAACTACGTTGGAACTCATGGTTTTCGTCATTTTGGGCTCCAAGTACTAATTTTTCAAAGGTTTGAGATTTCTGGTGGCACAAACTGAAGATTAAGGTAAAGTCTGCAAAAAAATTCAAAAGTTTAGGACCACTGTTGCAATTTTCTCTTTAAATTATTAATAGATAAAAAAAATGATGGATAATTGAATCGTACGCGTGAATCTTTTCAAAATATGTATATAAACCATGGATGGCAATATGGGGTCGGAATCCCTGACTTCATTGAAAAATGAGTGTTAAGTTGTAGAGTTTGTCTATAGTCATTTTGCAGGGCTAGTCACAGATTGACCTTCGATGTGAATACAATAATGCAAAAGTTCCAATTTTTTAATAAAATAATAAATATAATTAAAAGAAACAAAACACAAATAAAATCCATGCTAAGCAAAAAGTATTTCTTGACTTGAGTTATTGATCAAGATCAATCAAATTCTTAAAATGGAGCTCTTTGTGATCACACTAAAATAGAAGCCATTTCTCAAGAAAGCCATAAAGCAAGAATTAAAATCATAAAAAATGTATTTGTCTTCGAGAATCAAACCCGTATCCTATCATTCACATCGTAATTGCGTAGAATCATTATGTGAAAATATTCTTATTATATTATTATTATATTGATTTCGAAAGAATTAGTTTGATATTCGATTTCTTGATATAAATTTTATATATTTACCGATTTACTTGTTGAGTTAAACAGTAATTTTATAAGATAGTCATTCTTGAAAGATAATCAAATTACAGATTGAGAAAATGAATAATTGAGATTTATTATGAATTATCTCTTACAATGCAATGAAAGTAGGTCCAAAGACTCCAAGCTACATAACATGACTCCCAATAACTGCATTTACACTGTTCCAAGAACATTTCGTGTAACGAAAGATCACTGCAGATTTAAGAATAACTCGCATTTTTTTGCTATATTTTAACTTGAATTCGTAATTGACTCAAACAATTAAAGAAAATTTTTTTGGAGACTTGCAAAGAGTATAAAATTGTATATAAACTTCGTGTCACATCGATGGATCAAACCACTTTTTTTTTTTTTTTTTTTTTTTAACAAATACAAAAGAGTAATTCTACTCAAACAGCAAACAACCAGTCAATAGAGAGACACCACATTGGCCCCTGTTTTGATAGGTACTTGACCAAGTAGCACGGCTCAATAAAAAAAGGTTTGGCCCGTGAACATGACAACGTCACGTCGACGAGTGGACAATATAACTCTTGTTCAATATAAGCAAGGAGATCAATTCTTCTAAAATCAGAGCTAGGGATTTGATTACGCGTTCAAATTAGTTAAAATAATATTTTGAAGATCACAGTATTCTCTCAAGCATGTGGCAAATAGCATGGAATGTGGGGCATTATTTACAGCTCACTTTGACTAACTAATGCAATTATCACTCATTTTCACATGCACACAACTTTAGTTACCCCCAATTTCAATCTTCCCCGTGCCATTTTTCTTGCAACACATTTTTCCACAAACCTTTTTTTTTTTTTTTTACTATAGTAATTTTATTTTGCGAAGATATTACTAATTTGAATATATATGGTTCTTCTTACAAATGTGTATTTCTTATCACGGTAAAAGATTTAAATATTATTGATTTCGGTAGTAAAAAGATACATTTGCCACTCCTAGTGAAGTGTATAACCAAAAAATTAGAATTATCAGAAGAATTTAATATTTTGTCTTAAAAGAGAGAGAGAGAGAGAGAGAGAGAGAAACAAAGGGTTATTTTAGTAAATTGCATCCCATGGTCCATCTAGCACAAATGGTGTTAAAAACAAGTTGAGATTTACTGTTTAAAATTGATTGTTCAACTTACTATTCATCAAATGATTCATTGACACATCATTTTATATATTTTTAAGCACTAGTAACAGTGGGATAAAAGCTAGACGTGTTAATTTAAAGTGATATATCAATGAATTGTCGAGTAGATGGCAAGTTGGACAACAATCTCAACTCGTTGAATACTGGTCTAAATATTAATTAAGTCATAATTTCTTTATTTTATTAAATCTGTTATTTATGTCACTAATGTTATCACCTAGATAGATTGAGTGGTAAACACCAACATCCAGTATTTAACTTTGTTGCCACTATTATCTCTCTCTCAAATTGAAAAGAGCGCAGCTTCAAAGCCCAAAATCATGGCCGCAGTCATCAAGAAAAGCAACGTCATCACTCAAATCGTAAGGCTGAGACAAGTCGTTCGGCGCTGGAAAAACAACAGCCTTAAGCGGTGGACTCCACACTACTACTCTTCCTCAGATTCTGACGAATCGGCCGGTTCAACCCGGACCCCTTCCGGCTCATTGGCCGTCTACGTGGGCCCAGAACGCCGCCGTTTCGTTATCCCCACCCGGCTCCTGAACTTGCCCGTTTTCGTTGACATCCTCCGTGAGGCGGCGGAGGAATTCGGGTTCCCGACAACCGGTGGGTTGGTCCTGCCATGTGATGCCGGTTTTTTCAGAAAAATCTTGAAATTTCTTGAAAATGATGAAGAAAACTTTGGTGGGCTAGGTTTGGACGAGTTTTTCAAGCTTTATTCTGAAGTGGGTATCGAATCTTTTGACCATTTTTCTTGTAAAAATTCTTCTTACCACGTCTTCACTCCATTGCTGCAGAAGACTAGGGTAGGCTAAGGGAATTTGAACTTTTAGGGTTTTCGTATGTGATGTTGGACTTACAATGTTGGTCCATTGCCTCTTGTAACCATCCTTGGGACCAGAGACCAGAGTTCAACATTTGGGTTCTGGTTATTCAATGAGATGTTCGATTTTTCACCTTTTTTTTGGGTTTTAAAATTTTTTTTCCTTAAAGACTTTAATTTACGTGAATTAAGCTAAAGTAATCAAATTGGTTGACATACTGGCTGACGGCCCTTACATTTTGAGTGTGGGTCCCGTGTGAATTAAAAAATGTCGACCTCTCCATGTCTGTGTTTGATCATTTCTTGTGTCAACTCTATGTTAGTATAGCAAAACCTTATTTACGTTGTGACGATGAAGATAATATTATGAGATAAACGATAATTCTGGTCGAGATTGTGATGAAATTTTAAATTTCGAAACGTTTTTAATGTTCATTGTTATGTTGTTTACATGTTTTGACGTTTTAATATTATTTTTTTTTCTGCCCCTAATTAGACGTTCTTTGATTAGTCTAATCATGTTCATTTCTTTTACTTCTAAGGTACATTGAAGAAATATCAGAAATTTTTAATTCTAAGCTACGTTGGAGAAATATCAGAAATCGTGGCCTGGAATTAGAATTAATGTCAAAGTTGAAAAGGTTTTGAATAATTTGCATAAATGGTCCTTAGGTAGTAAATGAATAAGATTTAACGTTTCTAGTCTAATTCGTCTTACCAAATAAATAACGAATATTCGATTTTGATTATAACATATTGCCCACCAAATTTCGTATTCATAACTGAAAAGTGACTACATATGCTTTTTGAGTAACGAGCCATCTTGTTCACTCCATTCTTTTGATTTTGAACTCAAGTTGCATTTACACAATATTTTTCAGTAAAATAGCACTTTTTCAATTCATATAAAGCGATTTCTTAATCCTATTTAGATTAAAATAGTAAGGAAGGAATCATGTGTCTTAGTTGAATGAGATAACATGCATATACACACACTTTTATTAGAATATTCAATGCAATTAGACATTCTTCAAAACAAAATAGACATGTTTATTTTTATTTTATATATTTGTTTTCAAGTATTTTATATTAAGATTGAATCATTCTTTTTGAATTAGTCTATACTAGACCAATCCAACTACTTGAGTCGTTTTTTGTTTAATTTATCTTTTGTCATTTATACTTATTATTATACTATGTAAATACTTATCGAAAATCGATTAACTCAAAGTTCATACATTTATTTAATTAATGTATTATTCATTAATTAGGAAACGATATTTTCCTAACAAAATGATGTGAAATTAAAGAAACGATGACTCAAATAATTGAGACATGTTGTACAAATTTAAAGAACTCAATTTCATATCGATAATACCATATGACAAAAACAAGTCAACATAAAGTTAGTTAAAATAAAATTATAATTTTCGATTAGTGTAGCGTCAAATTAAATAATACAAAAAATGAAACTTGTTCTCTTATTTATTGAAAACAAGAATAAATTTATTTATTTTATTTTATTTCATGTTCACCCCTAAACTGCATAATTTTCGTACCTTCGTTTTCTTCTAGATAACAGAATGGGCCAGTCAATAATTCTCGTCGTTTTTGCTTTATCTTATTGATGAAAGCGATGCGATGACGGCCTAACAAATCAGTTTTAATTCATGTGCTCATAGCACTAAATTAATTTCCATATTCATAAAAAATAGGTAAATTTCGTTTTTTAATTCTCAAAACTTGATTTCTTGTTTTCTATTATTATTATTATTATTATTATTATTATTATTATTATTATTATTATTATTATTATTATTAAAACTGTGATTCCCACGACCTATAAGATTCAAGGCTAAAAATGTATATCCCATTTTCTTGTTTTAAAAACCTTATGATTTGTAGTTGATTAAAAAATATTTTGATGTATAAGAAAATGTTTAGGAAGTATTTATATGTGGTACTCCTTCCGTCCTATTTATATAAGATGGTTTTTTTTTATTTTCTTATCCCAATTATATAGTATTATTTCTTTATTGAGAATGTTTTATTTTGTTCATTACTAATATGCCCTTATTTAATTTGTTTAGTTATAATCAATTTTCTTCACTTACAATCTTGAAGTTGTACAAATATAAATAAGGGTAGATTTAGGGATGACAAACGGGCCAAGCGAGTTTTGACAAGCCCGAGCTCAATCACGAGCAGAGCAGGGGGCTCAATCCCACAAATCAAGCTCGTCAAAAAAATGCAAATTTATATAAATAAATAAAAAAGTAAAAAATGTACAAATTTACCGAAAAAAAAATTAAAAAATCATGAGCTCGCGAACGACTTGTGGGCTCGGCTCGGCTCGACCCGCAAGCTCGGGCTCGTGAGATCACAAGCTCGTGGGGGGAGCCCGAGCAACGAGCCGAACTCGAGCTCGGCTCATCTTTCACGAGCCACGAGCCCGTTCCCGAGCCAAACTCGTGAGTTATAGGGTCGAGCCTAGCCATTGCCATTCCTAAGTAGACTAGAAAAGCTTTTGGCAAAAATTACTATTTTAATAACACTAAATAAGATTTTCTTAATCTATATGAAAAACAAAACCATCTTATATAAATTGGTTGAAGGGAGTACTCAACAATGAATAAGTGAGTAATATTTATAAATTCCCCCCATGTGTGGATAACAAGCGATCATTTGATCGATTATGAAAAATTTATAAACATTATGCAAACATGATGATTTTAATTTTTCTTCCTCGATGTTATCTCATCATGTCCAATTCATCTTACAAACATGTCATTAGCATATACAATTATAAAAGGACAATGCCAAAAGATTGGTGAATGAACTTGTACTATAAAGATAAATTTTTAGAATATATTTAATAACGTATGTGCTATATTTGCATCGTAACTTACAGATTTATTTATCAACAAAAGACATGGTGAAATTTGATTAAATTAAAATCTCAATAACCAAACAAAAAAAATAAAAATAAATAATTACCTAATTTCTTTTTGGCATTAATCCACATTACATAATCATTATCGTTAAAGTGGTTAAAAGATTTGGGCAGTTTTAATTCAAATTATCACCATCTCATTAATCGTAAAAAAATAAAAAATAAAAAAATCTGTAAATGATGATGTACAATAATTATTTTTCACTTAATAAATATGTTGAATTAATTAGAATATTTTGAGTTATATATCGGTCTAAATTTATTTTAAAAGTAATCAAAATTAACCTAGAGAATTAAGAGATGTTGATGTCCGGAATAATCAACGAGGCATCATGCAAGTCGCACTTGAAAGCATAGTGCATTAAATTAATTAAAAGAGTAAGATTCAATCTAAAATTAATGCAATTTATTGCAATAGAACTAAACTAAGCCCCTGTTTGTCATCTTTTACTTTACATTATTTCCTACTATTTATTGTACAATACTTATTTTTAATGACACATTCTTCATAGAAACAACATCACACGCAAATTAAAAAAATTTCGTTTTTTTAGTCATACATTCTTCATCAATCATTATTTCGTAATACATTTTTTCAAATTAATGGGAATCAAACAGGGCCTACAAGAACTTAGGGTCCGTTTGATTGTAAAGATGAAATTTGGAGGGAAAGAAAACGAATTTTAAGGAATTGAATTGCCTAGAAATTATTAATTTTGTGTTTGACTGGTATAATTTTTCACGTGGAAAATGTTGAGAAAAAGTATTTTTTGGTGTCCTTTTGATTTTGTTTTACATAAAAATTATCAATTAAAGGGATATAATTTATAGGTATTGGAGATAAATTTTGTTTCTATCGTAAAAAAAGAAAAAAAATCTATCTTTTGGTATTCATTTGACTTTGTTTTACATGAAAATCGTCAATTAAAAGAAAATATTTTTTTTTACAATTAGAGATAGAATTTATTTCCATTGCAAAATAAAAATTAAAAAATTAGAAAAATTAAAAAAAAAAAACGTAACAGTGCCCTAGAAAACCAATTACCACCATTGGTGAGAATTGATTTTCAAGCAAAACCAAGAAAATTCCAACTTCCAAGAAAATCAAATTTCATGGAAAAAATATCATCAAACAGTCAAAAGGTGAAAGTTGGAATTTAAATTCCATTTTTCATGGAAAATATAATGCTATCAAATAAAGGTCTTAGTGGAAGTTAATATTTAGCCCATGTTTGAGCCAAATTTTGGGAAAAAAATATATTATTCATGTCAAATTAATGAGAAATATGTGGTTAAAAATAAAGAAAAATTTTAAATTTTCGTGTAATATCATTTTATTAAAAAATATGTGGTTGAAATAATGTCAAATCACTGTTGAAGAATATATTTTTTTGAAAATAACGTGGCTCAAACAAGTCCTTAGTTATTTTTGTTAAATTATTAAATCAAAGGGGAAGGGGTAAAGATGTCAATTACTTATCCACGTGGAGTGAGAGACAGGACAGTGTTTGGCACTTCTATCGAAATCGAGGACAGATACGGAAAGACAAATACGGAGATTTGAATGTTTTCTCAAACGAAAAACCGTACGTCGTACGTTGAAAGTTGAAACGGTCACCTACCTAACCGACTCCCCATTTTCTTATTTATCCTGCAAGATCTTTTGCAATTCTTTATATTTTTAATTCATAAATTAAATGTCTGCTTTTACTTATTTTTATTGGAAATCATTGTCTATAAAACGCTTATACGGAGACTTTGCCGGAGCTTCTGAAAATGTATTTTTAAATAGTAATTTTTTTGAAGGATATGTGGTTAAAAAGTAAGAAATTTTTTTCTTTTTTTTTTTAATTTATGCGTAAAAATATTTTATTAAAAAATGTGTGGTTAAAAATGAGTTTTGGAAAAATAAATTTAAGAAAAATGGGGATCGAACATGTGCTTTATTTGTTTATTTTTAATTTATTACTTGTCAGACTTGAATTTATATAAAATAAAAATAAATATTAATGCGTGAATCAATTTTGTTGAAAATTGGGAAAAATATTGGTTCTTTTATATTGTACTTAAATGCTTTGTTAAAAATGGAGTCAAAAACCAGTTGAATTTAGATCGAAGTATTTGACCCTTCAATTTACACTTGGTTAGTTGGTTACTTGAATCAGGTTTAAAAATATTGATCAAAAGTAGGACATTTTCACTTTTTAAGTCGAATTAAAATGCCTTCTAAAAATGTTCCCTACTCAAATTTCACTCTTAATTATCGGGCACCTCTATTCTAATTTCTGAATATAGGGTTCGTCATAGCTCCCTCTCTTCTTATTTTCGAATAACACTCAAAATCCCCTCTTCAATAATAATGAGATTTCCCAGACATTCCTAATTTAAAATTTTTCCCAAACGTGGACAAAAAGCTTCCAAATTATATCAAATAAACAACTAGAAATAAGATAATCGTCAATCCACTTCCACTATTACTCATAAGAAGAAGAATGAAAAAAAAAAAAAAATTAGAATAGACTAGTAACAAATAAATATGCAATCTTGACTCAGAGTACTATTATTCATATAATCATCTTTTTTAAATGGAAGATAAATTCACATTTTGTCAATAGTTTTTAAAATTAGAGGTAAAATGTTGATTATCAATATTATAACTAAGGTATGATGGAAGAAAAATAAAATTACGGGAAGCACTCAACCATAGAATATAGAAAGAAATGAGTTTCATGGTTTGACTTATTTATAGAGGAGAAATTGGAGAATTAGGGAATTTTGTGAATTGATTGACTATGACTCACTATTTTTGACTAAATCTAAATATGAATAAGTATTACGTGTGTCAGTTAAATCGTGACAGGGAGTACTAATTTCATGCTTTACGAATGTTAAATTTTTCTCTCATTTTCCAGTTATGGCTTAAAACAGGCACTTGTGAGTAGAACAACCAAGATTGAATGGCTTTAATGAAAAATTTAACCTTAGTCATGGCATTAAGTGAAAAATAAAATTAATAAATGATACTGATATCATGTTACTGGTTTTACTTAAATATATGTTAACTAAAAAATCCCACCCAAATCAAAACCCCATTTAAATACTTTAAACTCATTGAAACTGTGCAAATGTATAAAAGAAATCAGAACTATAAATCAAGAACGATGATTATATTATAGCATGTAAGTGATACAGGTCATACTACTGGCACAGATCTGTGATCTTAGCTTCTTGCCATCTACATAACACGTCTAACAGCTGTAGTACAATTCATGAACTAGTTAGCACTAATCATGGACACAACGTACCTTGTAAATATGGTGTCATACCTAGTATATGTTAGAGTTGTGACTCAAATAGGAGTCTTGAATCGCGTGTTGTTGGTATTAGAAATGAGTCTAACTGCATTTAACAAGAAGGAAACAAAATCACGTTGAAATTGGATCTCTTAATTGTAATATATTTTCTTACCTTTTAGAACTCTTTTAGAGTTTGAAACGTGGCCTATAAATTCAAGGCTCCTCTGTCAGTTTTGTTGAAACTTTATTGCCGTGTCTGTAATTTCTCTCCATATTGTCACTTTATAATACCTCGTTCCTCTACGATAAATTCTCTTTGTTTATTTCTTCACAATTAAATCTTGTTATTCATGGTGTAATTTTGTTTACTTCATAATATTGTTATTAAATCTCATTTGTTACAATCCGTTGGCATCAACAAGTTGTATTCGAGCTTCCGCTCCCAAAAAGTGGTTTCAGAGTCAGGTTTTTTTCTGTGGATTGGTTGAAGATTTTTTTAGAGATAACTATCATGAAGTATGACATTCTGCTGTTAGATCGCAATACGAGGTTTTCTTTGTGGTAAGTAAAGATGAGGGTCATTCTGGCGCAGTTGGATTTGGACGATGCGTTGCTAGGTTTTGAGAAGATAACAACTAATTGGACAACAGAAGAGAAACAAGTGAGAGATCGAAAGGTTTTACGGCAGATCAATATTCATTTATCCAACAATATTCTGCAAGATATCTTAAAGGAGAAAGCAGTAGCTACCTTGTAGTTGAAACTAGAGCAGTTATGTATGACTAAAAGCCTCACGAGCAAACTAGTTCTAAAGCAGAAGCTATAATCTCATTGCATGGCAGAAGGAAGGTCACTGGAGGACCATATTGCCGTGTTGAAGGAAATAGTTGCAGATCTGGAGACGTTGGAGGTTAAGTACGATGAAGAGGATCTGACCTTGATCCTATTGTATTTACTACCTGGCTCTTATGCGTCGTGTCGGGACACCATTTTGTATAATCAAGATATTTTGATTATAGGCGACGTCTATGATACTTTGCACTCAAAGGAGAAGTTGAAGCATTTGGTTGGTGCTACATTGAGGGATACGGAAGCTCTTATATCTCATGGTGGTTGACAGAAGGGTAGATCGAAAAATAACAGCAATTTGTTTTACTTCTATTGTAGATGTAAAGGACGTATTCGAAAGGATTGCGATAAGTTGCAGGCTAAAGGTAATTTAGCTGCAAATCGTGGAGCGCAACCTTTGATTTCAGACGACACTAGTTGAGGATTTTTCAGACGGCGGAGATGTGATGTTGACCGTGGTATCAGACGTGGAATCTAGGCCTAACGAGGAGTGGATTCTTAATTCGGCATGTTCGCATCATATGTGTTCCAATCAAAATTTCTTTCAGACATATGAGGTTGTTCAGCAAGGTGGAGTTGTAAGGGGAAACAACCAGTCTTGTCATATTGCTGGGATCGATCAAGTCAGATTTAGGTTGTGGGATGGGACAGTCAGAACAATTGATTAGGTTCGGCATATTCTAAAGCTGAAAAGGAATCTCATCTCACTTAATACCCCGGATGCAAAATGGTTTAAATTCTCTAGGGAGGTGAAGTCTTAAAGGTCTGAAAGGGTATTCCGATTGTACTAGAGGGATAGAGTATGTCTCAGTTGTATATCTTGCAGGGAAGTGCAGAACTAGTTAAGAGACACATGGACAAGTTTAGTATTGTGGTGGATATTTAGTTTGGTACAGTTCCTCTTGTGACGAACTCTGGGTCGGCTCAAAACATTGCTCGAGTGAACGTTGGTGATTCCACTTTCCCACTAATTTTAGCGGTTGCACTGTGTTTAGTTGTTAGGTTACTGTGGTAGCAGTGATGTCTATAATGCTTTTGGAGACGTTAAAGATGACAGTTCCAGTAAGGGGCTTTCTGTTTAAGCATTTTGTATGGTTTCTATTATAGGGTATGTTTCAATCCTGTTTGGTAAACATTAATTCCTTGGTGGAATTTTGGGAACTCAATTCAGGTGTCGCCTGTGGATGCCGTACAGAGTACGATGGTTTATATGGAGAGTTTTGATTACTGCGTTGAGGAGATTTGCCATTTCATTTTGATGCAAACAGGTTTATTTCTCAGGTGGAGAAATTTTGTTAAGCTCTACTCATTGCACTGGAATTTGAGTCAAGATAGAGATTGTTAGAATCGTGACTCAAGTAGGAGTCTTGAATAGCGTGTTGTTGGTGTTGGAAATGAGTCTAACTGCATTCAGCAACAAGGAAACAAAATCCTGTTGAAATTGTGTGTCCTAATTGTAATAAATTTTCTTGCCTTTTAAGACTCTTCTAGGGTTTGAAACTTGGCCTATAAATTCAAGGCTCCTCTATTAGTTTTGTTGAAGCATTATTGCTGTGTCTGTAATTTCTCTCCATATTATCATTTTATAATATATTTTTCCTCTGCGATAAATTCTCTTTGTTTATTTCTTTACAATTAAATCTTGTTATTTGTGGTGTAATCTTGTTTACTTTATAATATTGTTATTAAATCTCATTCTTTATAATCGGTTGGAATCAACAAGTTGTATTCGAGCTTCTGCTCCCAACAAGTGTATATTCACTTTTCATTAATACGTCTCCATTAGCTGATGTGTGTGTGTGTGTCTATATATATATAATTCTCATTGTGATACTTGTGAATTCAATCAATTCTAATGTACACAGTAGATCAATTTCTCCATTTTTTCTCTGTCACAATGGTCTGTAGGCTTTTCCTATTCTTATAGACTATTTAGTTACAATTAATGATGTGATCCGGGTTGTGCAATGAACTACCAAAGATTTATTGATTGATGATGAGGGAATGAGGCTAAGACTTGAGCTAAGTTGGGGGTAAATTGGGATTGATATAGCTGGCCGTATAGAGATATTCCAGGACCGAGTTGTGCAATTTTTGGCCCTTTTTTTTATTGGCTGGGAATTCTAATATTTTTACGTTTTTAATATTTTAGAGTGTTATATTTTCCTTTTTCAAATAGGATTCTTAGAATTTTATTCTTTTTAATATTATTCTAGATTTTTAGTATAAATATGTTATTTCTCTTCAATTGTGAAAGAAGACTTTTGATAATGAAAAACTGAGACTTTTCTCTCTTGAAGCTTTTGCTTAAAAACTTTGTTCTTCCATAGGTTAAAAAATTGAACTTATCAAGATTAATTATCTTGTAGCGTTTCATAAATTGGGTGTGGTTTATATAATTATTTATAATAAAAAGGTCATTCACAGCTCTGTTCTTGTTGGGTTGTTTGGTTCGTAATTATTGGGCTAGATCCAAAAATTTCGGGTGAAATTCATTAATCTTGCGTAATCAAAAGGTCGATAATTTAATATATTATTGGTTGCTTGGTTCCAATATTGTGGATTGAGTCCAAAAGCTCGATTATCGATTTTCTTGGGATCCTGTATTAATATCCTGTGATTTCGATAGCGACCGTGCTAATCGGGTTCGCATAATTTGGTATCAGAGCCTGGCACCAAAATTAAGGTTATATCCTTTTCTTTTTGTTTTGTTGAGACTTGTTTTGTTTTCCATGTCAATTTTGGCGTTCTTCATGTCTTTTGTGTTTGTTGAGTCTTTAATTTATAAAAATCTCAAAGAAATTTCAAAATTTGTTTTTGAATTCAATTTGCGTCTAAATCAACTTCTATTTGTTGTATCAAAGTAATAGTTGATTTTTCTATTTCAAGAGTTTAAAAAAATTTGTTCATTCGTACGGTACTGGTCCCAAAAAAAATTGCCGACTAATTCTTTGAATCAAATCCTTTTTATTGGGTCAAATTCCAGTTCAAGAACAACTTTCTTGAATTTGTATAAAAGTTCCAATCAAAGTTGTCCAGTTCAAAATTCTTTTGAGTCCTTGAGTCTCACAGATCAATTGAAAATCAATCAATATGACTGAAAGGGTGTTTCGGCAGTTTGAGAAGTTGTTGGCTAATATGAGAACATGGAAAATAGGATGGACAGGCTTGAGAGGCTATGTAGAAATCTTGCTGATGGAGTTGGATATTTACGGGAGGAGAAAATACCTTTTGTGAAGCAACTTGATAGTAAATCAAGCGAAGGAACTCGGTTGGATTATAAACGGGAATTCTCAAAGCTTCGCCTCATGATCAATTCTCAATTTGATCATGGGATGGAACGAAAGGGGAAACAGAGAGAAAATAGTAAGGTAAACTGATTGTGAGAAAAAATGAGAAAAGCCACCGAAGAGAAGGGAAATAGAAAATAAAAATGAGAGTGAAGGAGTGGCTAAAAGAGAAGTGAAGCTACCGAAGGAAAAATGCGGGTTGGAAGTAAGCTTATGTGAAAGGGAGAGTGAAGTTGAAGGGGCATTAACAAAAGCTAACAATTCCCTCCCCAGTGTTGCTATTTCTTTCTTACAGGATTTTAAAGACTTAGCCCATGAAGATGAGTCTATTGGGATACCACACAATTCGGGCATCGTGCATCCACTTTTAGATGAAGCTAACCAACAACACCTCAACTTGGAAATTCCTTATCTATTGGAAGTTGACTTTGTGATTCTCGAGGAGACGATGGAGTTTCAGAGACATTGGTCAAATTTCACATGCAGAGGGTTAAAGGAAGAAGATGATCTGAAGGGCAACGTTGACACATTGGAAATGACATTGTCGCAAGTGCTTGGGCCAAGTAAAGCAAGGAGAATATAAGGTCATTCATCGGATGGAGTTGCTATTGAAGCATTTCAAACTTGTAGGGTTAAGCAGTCGAGGCGAGCACATTTTGATCCAGGTAAAGGTGATTGGGTTTACAACCGAAAGAGGTGGGTTCGAATTCAGAAGAGGTCCAAATTGCATCTGAGAGGAGACGGACCATATCATGTTCTCGCACTAATTGGAAACAAGGGCTACAATATGGAGGATCAAGGTTCGGATTTGAGGTCGAATCCTTTCGGAGAGAGATGGGATGATGTGATCCAGGTTGAGCTACGAATTACCAAAGATTTATTGATTGATGATGAGGGAACGAGTCTAAGATTCGAGCTAAGTTGGGGGCAAATTGGGATTGATATAGCTGGCTGCATAGAGACATTTTGGGACCGAGTTGTGCAATTTTTGATAGTTTCTTATTGGGTGGGAATTCTAACCTTTTTACGTTTTTAATATTTTAGAGATTTATATTTTCCTTTTTCAAATAGGATTCTTAGAATTTTATTCTTTTTAATATTATTCTAGGTTTTTAGTATAAATATGTTATTTCTCTTCAATTGTAAAAGAAAAATTGAGACTTTTGATAATGAAAAATTGAGACTTTTCTCTTTTGAAGCTTTTGCCTCAAAACTTTGTTCTTCCGTGGGGCAAAAAAATCGAACTTATCAAAATTAATCATTTTGTGGCATTCACAAATCGGGTCTGGTTTATATAATTATTTGTAATCAAAAGGTCCTTCACACCGCTGTTTTTGTTGGGTTGTTTGGTTATTAATTATTGAGCCAGATCCAAAATTTCGGGTGAAATTCATTAATCTTGCGTAATTGAGAGGTCAATAATTTAATATATTATTGGTTGTTTGATTCCAATATCGTGGGTTGAGTCCAAAATCTCGATTGTTGGCTTTCTTGGGATCTGATGTCAATATTCTGTGGATTTGATAGCGATCATGCTAATCGGGTTTATATCAATTAAAGTTTTGAGCAAACCAAGTATGACAACTATAGACCAAGGGTCCAGCCGACTTGTAAGCCC